AATCCGACTCAACATTTCCAAAATACGTATATTTTTTTGGGAATAATCCGTATAAACTACGCTATAAACAAAAAATTGTAGGATTACTTACCGAGTGTGCACCTTTCGACATCGCCATTGCTAAAGCTTGTTTTCGTCGCAGAACAGCTCAGCAAACAGCAGTCGATTTCTAATAACTTATTTTTCTGCGAAAATTTCGTTGAACTTTGGAGACATCATTAATATAAATAATTTTAATTGCCGTTGAATAAGAAATGTTTCTTTCACAAGAAATGTATAAAATTACAGTACTGTATTAGACTTACGGTACCTAATTTACATACTGACAGACGATAGTTAGCGTAAAAATCTCCGTAGCGTGGCGCCACGCTAGACGGCGGAAATTATATATTTAATTATAACAAAGTTACAATAAGTTAATATATAATTATATATACAGTACCTAATTTATATATAATTAATATATAATTATATGTACAGTACCTAATTGATATATAATTTATATATAATACTGTACAGACGATAGCAAACTCTCCGTAGCGTGGCACTTGACGGAGGAAAATAGTTCGGAGCCCGATGACGTTTCACGTAATTATAGAAGTTTTTTTACCTTTTTTTACAGATACCGTCGCAATTTTTTCGCAGTTTTATAGGAATCGTAATTATAGGGGGATCTACTGTATTTCACTGATTGCTCAACATCTCATGGCTAAAGGGCTTAAATACACATTAACTGTAGATCTACAGTCCTAGTTAGTACTGGAATCTAAATGCCAAACCACACCATACTGAGGAGCACATATAACTAATTTAGATGACAAACTAAAATTATACTTTTTGTTTTGAGGTCAATTATAATTACAATCTAAACATTTAATATTCCAAATCAGAATGATAAAAAAATAACAATTGTCTTTGAGCAATAGAACTTATCAATTGTTAAACAATGTTAAACAATTTTAGATTATGAGAGGCTCTAAGCCAGTATAACTTGCAGAAAATAATTATTTTATATAAATTTATACAATGCAAAGTCAATATCATACAATACTTGCCATTGCACAAGGTGCCATTGCACAAAGTTCTAGTAGTACTAGAATCCAAATGCCATACTAAACCATATTGGAGCATATATTTACAACTAATAAACTATGCAAAAGTTTAGATTGTCCATGAGTAAAATCATCACTGTTTATGGTTAATACTATAATTCATTTCTCTTTGCTTCAATATACATATACAAATAATAATTAGTTACTACATGAACTGCATTTAAAATCTGAAATGAAAGTCCAAACTAGACTTTCTCCGTATGAAGTAATCATCAGAGCTTCATCAGAACAAAATAAAAAATTTAATTTGAAAAAAGTCAGTTGTTTTGTTAAATTTTGCAGAGAAATTCAAAATTTACATTTAACTGAATGCTATAAATTCAAATTCTTTCAAAACAAAACTGGTTCTAACTAAAAACAGGATTGCAGGAAAATTTTCTATTTTCTTTAAATCTGATAAACAAAAATAACTTTTGAATTTCTATTTTTTAGATTATTAAAGCATATTTGAAATTCCTTTATTTTTTTAAAATGAATTTTTAATAAAATTATCTGACAGAAAAATACAAAAAACAAGCATAAAAAGACAGAAATTTAAAATTAAATGTATTATCATTAATATAAAAACCATAAAGTAGTGTAAATATGGTTAACATACAAAAGATACATATAACAATCACAGTCTGACTCAGTATTTCCAATGCATTACATAACAAGAACAGATTAAAGTTTTTTCCTATAATAAAACTATTTCAAAATATAATTTTACTTAAACTACAATTAGTATAATGCATGTAAAAAAATAACTTGAATAACAGATTAACAATTATGCTAAAAAAAATCCTTAAATATAAATTATAAATTTAAAAAACAAATTATAATTCTTATAATTTGTTTAATTTATAAGAATTAATAAAAAGAAATTATATGAAATTATAAGAGAGATTTTTTTTACTTTAAAATATTCTAAAAATTAAACATTTTATGCATAAAATAAGCAGAATGTTGATCAAAAGCAACCTGAATCAATGTGAACATAATTTAACATTTTCAATATATTCTTTATAATAAATTGTATCATTAAATATATATAAAATATCAAAAATGTGTACATGATACTTAATAATGTACAGTACATCAATACATTATATATTCTATAACATATTTAACAGTATGGTTAACTGGAAAGGTGTCAAGTTATGACTCCTTCCCACTTAACTGTATTCTAAATCAAATATTAAAATTATTCCTAATTGGACTAAAGATAATGTACTGTACATATTTTGTTTCTGATGCAAATTTTTGTACAGTAGTTGATTAGTAAGAAAATATATCCTCAAACATTACTGATACATTAATATAAATAAATAATATAATATAAATAAATAAAACAAAGTGTAAAAAATTATATAGATTATTATCTTGCATACACATAGAAGTTATATTTAAAATTTAATCTAATACAAGCTAATTTTTCCAGAATGAGGATAAATTCAAGAATTTAAGCTATTGAGAAGCAATAAGACATAGGAATCTAGAGAAGACACCATAACAGTGCACCATTTGAGGATGAATATAAATAAATGTGTCGTTATAGTGTGCCATTAAAAATTTAATATCAATAATTATATTGTCATACCTGTGACTTATTATGATACACTACAGTGATAAATGCAACAAAGCCTTAATCTTATTTTTTGACAGATATTTGTAGTTTTATTTACATATTTAATGTTTAATATATAACTTACTAATTTAAAATTGAATATCTCACTACTTTATAACAAAATAATCTTTAATATGAAAACTTTCTTCAAAATATTTAAATTTTCACTTTATTAATTACATAGAAAGAAGGAAAGATCAGATGTTACAAGTATTTAACGTATTGCCTTCTTGTAACATAATCTTTACAGCAATTGGGATGAGAATATTTTGGAAATACTCCAAATATAAACATAGTAACTATATGTATTTGTAAAAAAGTTTAGTCTATAACTAATCTTCAATTTACAATGTACAGATAATTATGTTTGTTTAAAACTTACAGTTAGAAGATAAGTTTAGAAATATCTGAAGTAAACTTTCTACAAAATCTGTTAGTTAATACTTCTACTTTTGTTACTAAAAATAATCATATAGTTTAAAATTTCAAATAACAATACTAATATCTTTACACAAAAAAAAAATAATAATAATTATGGAACACTTTCATATAAAAATTTACTCAATGAAATCAACTCCATTCTAAAATATTTTTAAAAAAATTATCCTACAAAAGTACATAAAACATTGCATTAACATTTGATAATTCATATTTTTCTAAAAAATTAATCCTTAATCTAAATTGCTATCTTTGAAAGTATCTTGTTTCAAGTGATTTGTACTCTTTCCTTTAAAAGCCAAGACCTTCAAAAACCAAATAAAAAAATGTATAAAAGTTAAACTTTAATATAGTCAGAAAATAGTTTTTAATCAATTATCAGTTTTTACTCCACTTAAATATTAGATATTATAAGTTATAAATGCAATGTAATCAGTATAACAAGACTCAGATAGAGGAGGGCTAGCAGAGCCATATGGCTGGGACAAAAGTCCCCAAAATCTTTGTTCTGTAAAAAAATACAAAAAGTCAAAAAACCCACAGCTGGTTTGTGTCTTATCACTCTGGAGTAAAATCAACCAATCTTAGTAAACATAAACCTGAAACTCAGATCATAATTGCTTAAATTCTTTTTTAGTATCATCACTATTTCAAGCTAACATACTCAGACATATTAAGTCATTTCGAGTGCAACCAGATGTTCGATAATCAAATTCTAATTAATTAAATGCAATTATTAGCGAGGTTGAGGCCGAAGTTTTAAATGCCAAAACGTGTACGTTGGACGTTCAGCGCCGCTTTCCTGTAAGCCTAGAAGTTTGACAATGGTGTTTGGATAGTTGGAATCAAGCTCAACATTCTAAACACCATTGTCAAACTTCTAGGTATACAGGAAAGCGGCGCTGATCGTCCGACGTACATGTTTTGGCATTTAAAACTTCGGCCTCAACCTCGCTATTAACCGAGAACAAACTTAAATCTGTGAATATTATGTTCAAATACAATTATTTAGAATGACCATTTAATGTACAAGAAAGACAGTTATACGAGACCGAGCAGCGTAGATTTGTACAAAGGCTTGCAATTTGGTAATTTATACAGGAATTAGTGATAAATTAAGCCAAACATCATTGGAAAACAAATAGGAGTTAGACCTATTAGGAACAAGATGCGAGAAGTTCAATTACTCCAGTACGGACATATTAGGCACAATGATAATGGCAAAAAGTATCCTCTGTTACCACCCAGGGGAATCAGACCTGGCGGACATCATAAAGAACAGTGGTGTGACCAAATCACAAAAGATACAGAAACAATGGGAATTTTACCAAAGCGAGTGCCAGATCAGGTAAAGCAGAAGAATGCACATGAATGAGTGGACCTCTGCACCAATGTGAAAGAAACGCCAGGAAAGAAGAAGAATAACTATAAATTAATAATCTTCAAACCGAATTTTATTAAAAAAGATACATTAACAAAGTATGGAGGCGTTCAGAGTGCAACCAGATGTTTATTACACATTCCAATTAATTAAAATCAAATATTTATTAACCGAAAGCTTAAAAAAACAAATTTAAACCCCGGAATAACGCATTCGAATTTTATTATTTCCAATAAACTGCAAGTATTTAATATAAAAAAAAATTGTAATCAGGTGAGACGAAACGGTGTATTACATTGCCGCGTGGACCGATAATTCGGCGATTTATTAACAATTTTAAGGCAAAGTAGTGTTTAATTTGACATAATTTTATAAAATTTGGCTGGTCTGACGTATGTGGTGACGTCAGACGAAGAGTTTTGATAAACACGGATTAGGCCTAGTAACACCTGGTTAGGCTTACCTGTAAAGTCGCCTCGAACCATCTTTATGGTCGTTATTAACGCTGGAGAAGGATTTCTTCATTATTTTCACATCCCTGAAGAATCATTTGATACCATTTTACAAAGAAAATTTCCTTTTTAAAAACACAAAACGTATAAAGAAAGGTCGAATTTGTCGATAAAGCTTTTTTACGTTACAGACTCGGTCAAGTCTGAACGAAAGTCGCTACTACAAAACCATTTGATATTCATTCGTTACTTTAACTCTGAAATATTCTTTCACGTGCAGAAAGTTATCGATGCCGAATTTCGCTCGTGATAAGTTGCCACGACTTATTATTGACATTTTTAAAATTGCGACGAATGTTCAGACGTCGAGATGGTCGAACAACATCACTACGCATGCTCGATTAGCCAAAATGTATACGCGTCGTGCGCATGACCGTTTGATGGTGCGACGCGCGAGAACGTGCCAATTTCGCCATTTGTTATTTTTGTAAATTTTTATAAACAAAAAAATTTACCGTTTTCTCGTATTTATTAATATTAAACTCGAAAAGTGAAATTGTAATTAAATAACAGAAAAATTTAGTCTTTTTGTACGAGTATATGTCGTTAATTCTTATATTTTGTGAATGAATAATTTTCGTTTGATAAATTTAAATTATGCTTTTAAAGGTAATTTGCAGATAAAATATCCTTATTTTGGATATTTTTCTGCGCTTGAGTCAGTTCATAAGTACATATACGCCGCGGCCGGATGGCCGATCGGTCAAGGTAGCAGCCTACCGCCCTGAGGGATCCGGGATCGAATCCGAACGGGTCGAAAAATCCCCAGGAATTTTTCGGGGCGGTCCGTCCGGATATGTCAGGCCCCGAATTTAACTATTGCTCCGTCCGCCTGTGCCATGCTTGCCAATATCGTGCTATTGAGTCCTTTATTCACACTGTATTTGTGCTCTTTTATACGCACTGCAAGGTATATAAATTATTAAGGAAAGATAAGGACAAAATAAGAATGGAAGAGCAAGCGGGGGTGTACACTATCCCGTATGACAACCAACAAATAAAAGTCGATAAAAAATATGTAGGAGTGACCAGAAGAAACCTTGTAGTGCGTATAAAAGAGCACAAATATTGTGTGAATAAAAGACTCAATAGCACGATATTGGCAAGCATGGCACAGGCGGACGGAGCAATAGTTAAGTCAGTTTGTTACATATTTACTTACCGCCTTTTCTGTATTAATTACTAGCTTACCCGTCGCGCATTGCTGCGATCTCAGAAGAAAGGAAATTCAAGCAAACTCGTTATAATAAAATTCAATTTACATTTTATCATTTTTATTGAAACTTATGATTATTATTCATTTTCATCGGGAAAACATTTCAAAGTGTCGTTTCAATTCTATTTATTTATTGGAGTGCTTGTGGATACACGATATTTTTTGTTTTTCCGTCTGGTGCGTACACGAATAAATCAGAAGGTTTTCCGACGCGTGAGCTGGCCACATACAGTTGTCCATGCGAGAAGCACGGATTCTCCAAATTTAGCCCACACACTTGCAGCGATTGTCAAAAGCGCGATATTCCCCATTTATATATATATTTTTAAATCCTTTATAATTTTAATTATTTAATTGCTCCTTCCTCTCTTCCTTGGCATGTTGTGAAATTTCTGATAGTTGGATAATAAACCGTTTTATTGTAATTTGTCTTTTTAAATTATTTTGAGTCGATATTAAAATTTGGAAAAGGGGGATACCTAGATCGGTAAAATACGCGAATTTCTTCCTACAACTTCGGTTGTTGTTCGGGGTACAGTTAAGGTTTTAACGAAGTTCGAGCGAATACATAATTAGCAAAAAAAAAGTTGAAATAAAGTGATTAAACAAAAATTATTAAAAATATCGTAAATAACAGTTCACAAATGCATATATAGAGATATTTTTTGAAGGGGGAAATGGTCTTCACAATTTGAAATCGATCGAACACACACTGCTCGAATGCTAGCGTAAACGCACGCCATCTATCGTAGGATAAATGCCAGAAACCTTCGCGGGAGTGTATTAAAAAACTTCCCAAAGCTTCAAGGCAATCGTACTACGCCAGAAACCTTCACAGGAGTATATTAAACAACTTCTCAAAGTTTCACGGCAATCGGATAAACGGTGTGGTAATGCATGAAGGACATACACACACACACATACATTCATTTTTATATATATAGATTACAATTATCAGTTAAATTACAGTAAAATCTTCATTAATAATTAGTTTATTGTCAATTTAATGAACAAAATTTATTTTCACTACGAATATTAGAAGAAAAACTTGGGGATAGATCTCTAGTTTTAGGGACTATATTAACAGTTTGGAGACTAAAATTTTTGTAATGAGTGACCGTATCGATAATAATCGTTTGAAATATAAATCGCAACAAAATATCGAATTATAAAAATGAACATTAATTCCGGTATTTCGTCGAGATATGAATTTTATTAACATTAAATATTTTGGAGCCGGAAGACCACGGCTGGGATTCGATTCAGGATTCCCTAGAATCGGAATCCGATCAGAACGCAAGGTCCTTGATCCGAGTGAGTATTTCTCCTGGAAAATTGAGTGGGTGATACGTCGAGGCCCTCCGTCGTCACCCGGCCGCCTTATCACGGATTGGCTCAACTCGCGACGGGCGTGGAAAACCCTTTTTAATGCTCGAACTCCCCCCGTCCCTCACCACTCGGCAGTCCCATTATGGGCCTGGCCGAACCCATAACGGGCTTGGAAAAATAGGTTTTCTTAGTGCCCACAGGGCGGAAAGAGTTAAAAAAAAAAATGCTCGAACTTTGTAACACGAATATTTAAAATATAGAATTTTCAAGTTATTATATTATTTCATTAAATATAATTGCGAAATTTATTTATTAATTTAAGAGTTAAGAAAACGCAAAAAATAAATTAATAAAAACGGTGGCGTGAGGAAAACGTAAAGATGGCGCTAGGAAGCCGCGAACTGCGAAAACGAAATGGAGAACGCAGATATTTTCGTTTATTTATAAAATAATGGCGACGATTCGTAAGGAATTTTCATTGGGAGCCATCGTCCGGATAAAATGCGAGAACTTTTTGTAAGTATCGACAAATAAATGTAGATATTTAGTGCGATATCATCGATAAACGGTGGCGTCCACCATTACTTTGTTGCCTTCGACACGCAAAAAAGCATAAAATTTAATTTTTAAGCTGTAAGTTATTTGTGTTTATAATTAACGATTGACGGGTTACCGTGAACGTAACTCCATCTGGGGGGTTTTCGTACCAAATAGGAAATTTCGAGAAAAATCGAAATTTGTTTTATTTACCGGGAAATGGTAAAAAGGAATGCGGAATGCTTAATTTGATACGATTCACCTTCGAACGAGACGGTCGGATTTTCCCGAAGCAGTAGACGCTGTACCTCAGGGATCACCCGGTTGGAGGAACCGTCCTTCTACCGGCGATCTGCCAGACGAGGCCCCCGAGATTGCCCGCTGTCTGGGGTTGTACTGCCTGGACCATTGCGTTTTGCTGCGCCACCATGCTCGTTTGACTGTTTGTGCAGTACTTGATATTATGTAGTTTTAGGGGATGAGGAGGCGTCAGCAATGGGAGTGCCGAACTGCATAACTATGTGTGGAGCCATGGCTGGCCTTGACCGACCTGGAGTGTAGATAATAGGTGGCGGCATCGGTATGTGGTAAAAACTGACTTTTGGAGCTGAATATCTTGTGAAGGGTTGCATGTACAGGTATGGTTCCTTTTGCTGTTTTGCTCGTATAGTGGAGTGTTCAATTCTGGGATGAGAAACTCTTTGTTTGGAGTTTGTGTCTTACTCTTAATTAAACTTGAAATGGGCTCGAGGATAATGCCCTCGAACCCATTTGAAACATTCTAATTACTCATATCCCTTATCTTGATAAAAGAATTGTGATTTTGGAATATTTTAAGTCGATAAAGCCAAGAGATGAGTAACTTGAAGAGTTGTTGCTGTTGGGATGGATGTATATGTGCTATGTAGAATGGAGAATTGGCATCCGAACGTATGCGGTCTTTGGAAGGATTGTTCGGGCCCCTGATGAGCTGTATTCTTTTATTATGACGTGGCATTGTATCTAATGCATAATGTTTTCTTTCTTTTTTGTGTTTTGTAAAATTTGGAATGTGCAGTTTTGGGTGCGAGGATAAAAAATGTTGCCGAGGAGACTTGTAAAAATTAAAGTTGTTGTTTTGTCATGTGCTGTTTTGATATTTATGTAAGATTGCCATCAGAGAAAAATCTAAAATGAAAGCAAACTGATTTATTTCTCTGATGTATTGAACATACATTATGATGAGTGCAATAATAAGTCTTTTCTACTTATCTATTATACAATGTCTATTTATGGTAATGCTTAAAACAATGAAAGTCTAGATTTAGAACATGTTCTGTTCCTGAATCAGATTTCCAAAACCACAAAAAGAATGATTTGATTGATGTGTTTGACTAAACGGTGTATAAAAGCACAAAATATTTCTGATATTGATTTACAGAGTTGTTAAACATATGAGATCAGAGGGTAGTAGACCACAAAACATTTGCAAAATATTATAAGTGAGAATTTGGTCGAAATATTGCATGTGTTTTTGTAAATTGGGAAATCTCAGAGTCTGGTTTTAACAATGTTGATGGATTCTGTTGAAGAAAGATTAACTTGTTTAGGAGTAAGTAAATTTTTGATAACTAATAAAGTTTGTCAAAAGTGAGAAACAAGCAGAACACTGGATTGGGTGTGTATATCACTAATGAACTGGATGTCTGTAAAAGTTACAGAGGAATGCATTGAAAAGAAGAAACAGTTTTAAAATGGTGCAATAGTATTTTTTTGGATAGCTATATGAAGGTTAGACATCAAGGGAGATCAAAAGAGATGCTCGACTTGACTTTGCAAAAGATGGATTCATGATGATTGATGTAAAACTTAATGCTTGAAGGTGTAAATTTGAAATATATGACTGTAGGAAGTTGTGCAGTGGAGATTGAAAGAAAAATAGGACATTTCGTGCAAATCCTGTTATGTTTCCTGCATGTAGTGAAAGTAGACTGTGGCTGTGCTGTCTGCATGCTGTGGCTGTCTGACGGGAATTTGCCAACTACCAAATAAAACATTCATTGTTTCACTCCTTAAAGTCTAAAATAGTGATCAAGAAATTTATTTACTATTGAACACAAGACTGTGTTATTATTAAAACACTTGGCGTTTATCCACTTTATTCAGTTTATTCAGTTATCAACTGAATAAAGTGGATAAACACCAAGTGTTTTAATAATAACACAGTCTTGTGTTCAATAGTAAATAAATACGAAAACACGGTTTCAAAAAACGAATCAAGATCAAGAAATTGTTAAATTGCTAAGAAATCTTGTATCACTAAAATTTGCTCAGCATCAGACAATTTCTGGATTACTATTATAGATGTTAACACTTTGTATCCACCTGTTAAACAATAGGCTTTGTTTTACTGTTTATTTTTACAGTGATATTCATTTATTCAATTCTTCACCAGTGCTGAAGTGTTTAAAACCACCAAATGCTGGTAGTAGATCATGGATTCATTTGTTCATAACTCAGATTGTTTGTTAGTGTCAGATAATGTTATAATCATAACTGTTCCACTGCATATTAGTGAAGAAGTGATTCTACTCTTCAGCTGAGTTGTAATCAAGTTGAAATGCTCAAAATTTAACTTAGAAGCAAATCTACTAAGTTGAAGTAAAATGATAAGTTTTTGTGAAGTATTTGTTGTAGTATTTCTCTGCTTTTATTATTGACAAGGCTATGTCTTGTTTATATGCTGATTTTATAAACAAGACATAGCCTGATGTTCTTACCAGCATAGAGGTATGAAGTAAAATGATAAGTTTTTATGCCTGATGTTCTTACCAGCATAGAGGTATGAAGGAGTATATGTCAAGAGTTGATATTTGGCACAGAGTATTAGGTGCCCAAATCATTTGCGCATAAAAAAAATCCAGACTCATGGGTAGTCGGGACCGAGAATCGAGTCAAAATAAAATACAAAATGGCGACCCTCTTCTACAAACAGGCAAAACAGCCACCTCACCCCACCAAAGTCATGTAGGGGAGAGTACTACAGTCATTCTAAGAAGTGAACTCTGACCTTAGGACCGAACACATAGTTTCTTCTATGTTAAATAAAATTTTTAATCTAATTTTGTAAATTTGGGAGTGCTTCAAATATGACGTTAAAACGGTTTTTATGTCGTTACAAGTGGGTTTTTTTAACATTATCTAGTATAGTAAAATCGTAGGACTGATAAAAATTTGACATTATATTACGGTTGTCATTACATTCGATGGCATTATAATCGGGTTTAACTGTATATTGTTTGTTCAAAATAAAAAAATAATTTCAGACGATACAATAGCCACGATTATTTTTTTCAAAAACGGGAACTTTTCATTACGCATTGACAAAAATTCAACACGGGCTGACACACAATAGAGAGAAATTTTGAAATTAGATAGGTTAATTTCATCAAACATGCATCGTGGACGATCTCGGCGAAGTTTGAACAATCATGCCAAAAAGCAGCGATATCAAAGAAGATAGGAGAATGAGACCTGCCTTGAGCATCAAAGTGATTCCATCTCCGAGACATAGTCTTGTCCCAAATATGGTTTTGCCATTTTACTTGTTTTATAATTTAAATAAGTCTAATTTATTGTCATTATTTTTGTTGAATTTTGTTTTTTTTTTTTTTAATACAGAACTTACGATTCAGTTGAGCTGATACCGGGACCTCAGCTAAATCTCATCATTGGACCAAATGGCACAGGAAAGTCTACTCTCGTCTGTCTGATATGTCTTGGACTGGGAGGTAAACCAAACATCATAGGCCGTGCCGGGCAGATATCAGACTATATCAAACATGGAAATAACAAGGCAATGACGGAGATAGAATTGTACGTCATAAAACTGATCTGTAACCAAATTTTAAGTTAAAACTTTAATTTTATTAATTAGTTTTTTCATTATAGATACAACAACAAGGGAGAAAATTGGATTGTGAACAGAGAAATATTCCCCGATAACACTTCAACTTGGATGTTGAACAAACAGTCGTCATCTCAGAAAGCGGTAAGATACAATTGAATAAAAACTGAAATAATTAAAACTATAAAAATGAAAAAGTTTATTGTAAAATCCTCAAGTTTTTCTCCTAATATTCGTGGTGAAAATAAATTTTGTTCATTAAATTGACAATAAACTAATTATTAATGAAGATTTTACTGTAATTTTACTAATAATTGTAATTTTTAATAGATAGAAAGGCTGACTAATGAACTAAACATTCAGATTGGAAACTTATGCCAGTTCTTACCTCAAGACCGTGTTTGCGAGTTTGCGAGAATGTCACAGCAGGATCTCTTAATCAATACAGAAAAGGCGGTAAGTACAGTAAATATGTAACAAACTGACTTAATTAACTCAAATTTTGATTTTTGTGGCTTTTTTTTTTTTGTTGTTGTTATTAAATCTAGGTGGGGACTCTGGAGATGCTTGAATATCATCTGCAGCTGAAGAAACTGAGAACAGAAGTTCGTGATTTAGAGAATTCCAAGGAAAGTGGGACAAGCCATCTCGAGAAAGAAAGACAGACGCTTATTCACATCGAGAAAGAGCGAGAAAACTTTGAAGAACGTCAGAGACACCTCGAAGAAGTGGCAGTTTTAAAACAGAAGAGGGCTTGGGTGGTAAGTTTTGAGGAAAGTTATTAATCTCGGCATCAAAATTGAATACAGTGTGTTTCACAGTGTTTTGACGATTTCAAAGTTGAATAACTTGCATTAAAACTGAGATACAGTGACGGTGGTGCCATCTATTAGTAGTGCAGACTGTCAGCTTTCATCTCATATAGGTTACTATGTAGCATCATGGAATACTGGTTGAAGCAACATTGTGTGTTTGCGGTAGAGTGCTATTTTCACATTGGCGAATCTGTCGTGTGCATGCAACATGAATTTCGTAAACATTTTAAGGTTCAACATGCTATTCCTGCTCATGGAACAATATTGAAATGGGTAAAAAACTTCTATGAAACTGCCAGTGCATCAAATCGAAATTCAACCGGCTGTAGCAAGACTGTACAAACTCCCGAGAACATTGAACCTGTGTGTAGCAGAATGGCCACTTCACTTGCCTTATTTAACCCACCAGACTTTTACCTATGGTGTGTTTTGAAGGTGAGAGTGTACTCCGATCAGCCAAGAAGCTTGGAACAATTAAGAGATCAAATTCAAGATGAAATTTCCAGAATTCCTCCAGCAGTTACGAAAAATGTGTTTCAAAAGCTGGGTGAAATGCATCGAGTCTTGTGTAACTGTGAATGGTCGTCATTTGTTCGATGTAGTATTTCATAAGTAAAATTGAATAAATTTTGTACCTTGTGTAAAATTTTCACCTTTTTTTAGCAATTAGTTTGTGAAGTTATTCAATTTTGAAATCGTCAAAATAATGTGAAACACCCTGTATAACAGTATTGATGTTTTTTAGGAATACAACGAAGTTCGTAGGGTTTTCTGTGCTAAGAAACAAGAAAAGAATAAACTCTCAGACAAATTAAAAGCTTTAAAAAATTCCAATCAGCCTTTAGAAAAAAAACTTCAGGAATTAAGAAACAGTTTCTCTAAATTAGAGGAGGAAATGAAAGAAATTGTAAGTTTATGTTAAAATTATTTAAACTTTATATGTAAATTTTTACTTTGGAATAAATATATGATAGGTAAACAGTATAATATTTACAGGGTTTGAAAATAAGGAATCAAGGTGTGAGTGTTACTAATGTTACAAGAGTAATACAATCATATAAAGATAAGGTAAGAATAAATATTTCGAGAATTATATATAAATGTATTTTGTAATGTCAGTCTGTTGATAAGCTGCATCATAAATAATACGGAGTGGTCGAATAAAAATAGAATTTGTAAAATATAAGAGGTTTTATGCAACATTTATTTTTTGCAATGTTGTCAATACTCTTGCTTCTTCTTAACGAAATATTGCTTAAGATTTATGTAGTGAAATTTTTAAAGGAGGATAAATTTTGACTGAGCGATGGTAGTTTTGGTCTGATACTGAGTTAATCTGATTTAAGTTTCTGAAGAATTTGAATTGTTTGTAATAAGTATTTTCTGTATTTTGAAATTGTTTGAATTTTTCTTTTTATAAAAAATAGGATTTTATTAAAAGTTTTAAAATTTATATTGAAAGAATGTTATTTTTGAAATTCTTTGATTTTTACTTTCTCTGTAATGTATATAGCATTGGAAAGTATTGCAATTGTCAGATTTGACTCCATGGGTATTTTGCAAATCTTTGTTTTTAGACCCGCTGAACCTAAAATAGTAAAATAAATGAGAAAAATTTTTGTCTTAGTGGGTGTGTTTGTTTGCATCTATTTTGTTTAATATCTCAGGATAGGGTAGCAATTGAAAAAAGAAATTTGGCATACTAATGTCAGATCCAGGATTGGATTATACATAAAAGGAAAATCTGAGACTATAAAAGAATAACATGATTGGGTTCAACACTTATACAAAGGAGGATCTTTGATCCTAATCCATTACAGTTGACCCCCCCCTATAACACGGTAGATACGTTCTGTTCTTTATGAAATTGATGTTCTAAGAGTCTTTGAATACATGAGCCAATCACATCCCGGCACGTATGCAGTTTACAGACTACGGCTGTTTGAAAGGTTTTCTTCCATAAAATTAATCGATTCTAGACTAATTCGACTCAACATTTCCAAAATACGTATAATTTTTTGAAAATAATCCGTATAAACTACGTTATAAACAAAAAATTGTAGGATTGCTTACCGAGTGTGTACCGTTCGACTACGCCCGTTGCTAAAGCTTGGTTTCGTCGCGGAACAGCGCATCAAACCGCGGCCGCGATTTCTGATATTATTTTTCTGCGAAAACTTCGTTGACCTTTGGAGACATCCTTAATATAAATAATTTTTATGGCCGTTAAATAAGAAATGTTTCTTTCACAAGAAATGTATAAAATTACAGTACTGGACAGACGATAGGTCGCCTAACTCGCCGTAGCGTGACGCTAGACGGCGAAAAATATATATTTAATTATAATAAAGTTACAATAAATTAAGTTAATATATAATTATATATACAGTACCTAATTTATATATAATTAATATATAATTATATGTACAGTACCTAATTGATATATAATTTATATATAATACTGTACAGACGATAGCAAACTCTCCGTAGCGTGGCACTTGACGGAGGAAAATAGTTCGGAGCCCGATGACGTTTCACGTAATTATAGAAGTTTTTTTACCTTTTTTTACAGATACCGTCGCAATTTTTTCGCAGTTTTATAGGAATCGTAATTATAGGGGGATCTACTGTATTTCACTGATTGCTCAACATCTCATGGCTAAAGGGCTTAAATACACATTAACTGTAGATCTACAGTCCTAGTTAGTACTGGAATCTAAATGCCAAACCACACCATACTGAGGAGCACATATAACTAATTTAGATGACAAACTAAAATTATACTTTTTGTTTTGAGGTCAATTATAATTACAATCTAAACATTTAATATTCCAAATCAGAATGATAAAAAAATAACAATTGTCTTTGAGCAATAGAACTTATCAATTGTTAAACAATGTTAAACAATTTTAGATTATGAGAGGCTCTAAGCCAGTATAACTTGCAGAAAATAATTATTTTATATAAATTTATACAATGCAAAGTCAATATCATACAATACTTGCCATTGCACAAGGTGCCATTGCACAAAGTTCTAGTAGTACTAGAATCCAAATGCCATACTAAACCATATTGGAGCATATATTTACAACTAATAAACTATGCAAAAGTTTAGATTGTCCATGAGTAAAATCATCACTGTTTATGGTTAATACTATAATTCATTTCTCTTTGCTTCAATATACATATACAAATAATAATTAGTTACTACATGAACTGCATTTAAAATCTGAAATGAAAGTCCAAACTAGACTTTCTCCGTATGAAGTAATCATCAGAGCTTCATCAGAACAAAATAAAAAATTTAATTTGAAAAAAGTCAGTTGTTTTGTTAAATTTTGCAGAGAAATTCAAAATTTACATTTAACTGAATGCTATAAATTCAAATTCTTTCAAAACAAAACTGGTTCTAACTAAAAACAGGATTGCAGGAAAATTTTCTATTTTCTTTAAATCTGATAAACAAAAATAACTTTTGAATTTCTATTTTTTAGATTATTAAAGCATATTTGAAATTCCTTTATTTTTTTAAAATGAATTTTTAATAAAATTATCTGACAGAAAAATACAAAAAACAAGCATAAAAAGACAGAAATTTAAAATTAAATGTATTATCATTAATATAAAAACCATAAAGTAGTGTAAATATGGTTAACATACAAAAGATACATATAACAATCACAGTCTGACTCAGTATTTCCAATGCATTACATAACAAGAACAGATTAAAGTTTTTTCCTATAATAAAACTATTTCAAAATATAATTTTACTTAAACTACAATTAGTATAATGCATGTAAAAAAATAACTTGAATAACAGATTAACAATTATGCTAAAAAAAATCCTTAAATATAAATTANTAATTCGACTCAACATTTCCAAAATACGTATAATTTTTTGGGAATAATCCATATAAACTATGCTATAAAAAATTGTAGGATTACTTACTGAGTTTGCACCGTTTGACGACGCCATTGCTTAAGCTTGTTTTTGTCGTGGAGCTTGTCATCGAATGGCACTCGTGTGCTTCCTGATAAATTATTTTTTTTGAGAAAAATTTGCTGAACTTTGGAGACATCATTAATATAAATATAATTTTTATGGACGTTAAATAATAAATGGTTTTTAGTAGATCCACTGCTAGTTTCAACTCAACGGTTTGTACAATATCTGCTATTTGTCAAGATTCAATCAATCCTGTCACGACACGAGTCGGCGATGATGTTTTACCGAATTATACGAGTTTTTTAGCATGTTTGTACAAATACAGTCGCAAATTTTTTGCCATGACATAGGAATCTGAACTATAGGAACCCATGTTATTGGGGGGGTGACTGTATATCTATTCTGACAAGAGAGAGTTTATATAACACAATTATATTATCTGTTATGGAGAGTCCTTGGAATGAGCAGAGGCGGTGAACCAGGAGAGGGATGAGAGTATTAGCTAGAGTATTAAGCATCATGTAGGAGCACCAAAATGAGCAAGTTGGAAGGTGACCTTTCACCTTTTATGATGTATTTCATCCACTAGAATTATTGGAAAATTACACCATGCTTCTGACGCATGATGGAAGTCTTGCGGATAGAAGAGTGAGACATTGCACTTGAACTATCACTTTCAGAGGAACTAAACTCTTTTTTTGCCATGACAAAAAGAAAGTTCCCCTTTTTTACTTAGATAGATAATTTTTCTATCAAATAAATTTTAAAATATTATTTTAACAAAACTGTTAAAACAAATCCCTTAACTCCAGATTCTCATAGTAGGTTGTATATAAGGAGCATTGATGCTATTAAATTTTGGTGGTTAAAGATTGAGGGGTGGGGAGATAGTGGGGGTCAGATGTTATATCTTGACTGGAGTCAGACTTAATGAAAAATTTACTTGCTGTTAGCATTTATAATTTTTTTTTTTTATAAAACTCAACTTTATTCTCAAAATTAAGCTTTTTGCCATTTTATAATAATTAATAATATAAAAGTTATTTTTAAACAAAATCTCATAACAGTGTCACAGACAATTTTAATTTTGTGCTAATATATCTTATTCAGATGTTTTTGCAGGAAAGTTACACAGTTTATTGCTGATTTTTTTTTTATTTTTGTTAGCTATCAAAATATGCATATACATGTAGTAACACGTTATCTTTGCATTATTTACCATTAAATATAGAAAACCAGTTTATTATATAAGCAATTGATTTTATTTTCAAGCATCAAATCAAATCTTTTACAACTTGTGCTCTTCTAAAACTTTGTCTTAGCACTACTTTATAACACCTGTGCCATTTCAGGTAGTTGGTGCTTTGAAACCTGATAAAAGTAAATGCTTACGATTAATACTTTAGAATCTAGGTGAAGATATTCAGACTAAATTGGTAAAATTAAGTATGATTAAAGTATCTCAATCTACTTAGACATAAATTGACAGAGCAGTTAAGTTAATGATGCCATTAAGGTATTTAACTTCATCTATACTGTAGAATTAGTGTAGACTGTTCTCCTTTGAGTATTTTACCTTCTGGGCTGTTATGTATATAAAACCAGAAAGTATTGGAATCATGAAATTTGACCATCTAAGTGCATTGCAAATCTCATTATTTTGAAACCCTGAACCCAAAAAGTAAAAAAAACAAAGAAAAAAATTCAGTGATGTATTCACACATTGGCATTTATTTTGTTAATATCTCAGGATGGGATAAACATTATGAAACATAATTTGACATGTTAACTTGTATGTAAGTTGCATTGATGATGATACAATTTTGGTGGTTACAGTTTGAGAGAGTGGAGAGATAGATAGGGTCATATATGTATTTTAGGTGGAGTTGGACTTAATGAAAATTTTATTTGTTACTGGCATATACAATATTTTAAAAATTCATCTCTGCCTTCAAAATTAAGCCTTTTGTCTTTTTATTATAATTAATAATATAAGTTATTATTTTAATAAAATCTTGTAACAACTGTCTGGATTTTTTAATAGACTTTTTACTTATTATTTACAAAAACAGATTTTATATGTTTTCTGATCCTGTTTGTCTTCCTTTTGGACAGATAACCGAATGCAACAATGAATTAGCTGCTAAACAACAGGATGAAATGCAAAGATTAGCCAGGTATGATTCAAGAATATAATAAAATTGGATTTATAATACGGTGATATTGAAATAGCACATTTTCTCAAGTTTGTACATAGTTACTTTCAAAACTGTGAAATAATATTGGTATTGTTTATTATAAAAATTTCTAGGTTAAGATGAAAATCTTTGTTTAAATTTCTTTATGTCCAAATTGTCAATTAGCATTTCAGGTACAAATGTTAAATATGAGCATTCAATTTAATAATTTTAAATTTGAAGAGGTTTGTAAAAATTTACGATCACTAATTGTTAATGGAGTATTTGATATTGCCAACACAAAAGACTCGTGTGTGTGTGTGTGTGTAGTAAATTATCCTTTTAGCATGTTGTGTGTGTTAATGAGTCTGATGCAGTAAACATGTTAAAAAATATGCAAGACGAAGGTGAAAAAATACATATTCCAGAATTTTAATTTACATATGTATTACTATTTTTTAAACAGTGTCATACACAAGACTGCATTTATTTCTAAAAACTTATTAAAAGAATCTTGTAAATTATAGAAAGTTTTTAAAATAAAGTTTAATTTACAAGTTGGAAAGATGAAAGTGGGCAAAAATTGAAAATAAATTATATTTAAGTTAGTATTTAATATATGTAAAGAGAGGACTTGAGAGCATTTTAAAACTTTAAGCTATCTTTCTGAATTTGAATTTTTGATTCTAGAAAATTGTGAATTCTTCATAAAATCATTTGCTAAAAAATTGCCAGGAGAAAAAAAATTAAAGTTATAAAATTTAAGAAAATTCTTAATATAGAAAATACATGTTTCTTCTAACTTTGTCTTTTTGCAATCACATGAGGAAATTAACAGTTCCATGGTAGAGTCAACCTTTCATTTGAGGCTACTCTAATGAAAGGTTAACTCCAATTTCTTCTCGAATTGATTTAATTTGTTTTAAATTTTAAATTATTCTACAAACTGACGCATTTTTTTAAAAACTGTCAATTGACTGTAAACATTAATTTTCCAAAATTAATTAATTATTTGAAAACTTCTAAATCAGATTGTCTTGTCATATTAAATGAGAAGTAAGTATATAGGTGATCAAACAAAAAGTCGTTTTTGAGGAGTAGACTTTGTGATGCCAAAAGGATTTTCAAGTTTTATCCCTTGACTTCTTAATAAATTGGTGTTTAAGATTTAAGTGTTTCTTATGATGCATAGCAGTGTTATAATAAGCATAGCCAGTTTGTGGTATTGCCAGAAATAAATCTTTTGTCAAATCACCTGGTATGTAGCAATGAGGGTAATTAAAAATGAATAATGACCACTCTTTAAAGAATCAAATTATGAAAATGTGGCAATGCTGGTAATAAAAATACCATATGACTTCTAATTTTTGCCATTGTAAAAATTATTAACAAAACAATTCTCAAAATTCTCAAAAATTGTTCTTTATTCTTCAAGTAATCCATAAAAAGTTAGAGGAGTATTGTGAATGCTTCATTTGTATTAAAATGATCGCCTCTGTATCTTTATTTCTTAATAAAACAAATCATTACTTTTATAGTTTATTGGATGCATTTCTTTTTGTAACAGACTATCCGTAGTAAAAAAAAAAAGTAGAATTTATTGCATATTTCTATTATTAGATTTCTAATTTTAAAATATTGTAACCCCAATAAAACTTACGTATAATTATCTCTTCACACAGAAAAAAATATTTGCAAATTTTCCTGTAAACTATTGATATTATAACCTGCGTTTTCTATTGATAATTTAGACTAATACAATCTTGTGTGCAAAAATAATAGAGAAAAATTAACTATCAGTGCAGTTTTTAGGATCAGTTAATATTTATCTTGTTTGTTGAATGGCACTGCACATAGTTTACATTCATTTGTATTGTTGACAATTGCAATTGTTGTCAATCTCTGTATTTTTTGTTTTTTTTTACTTAGTTTACTTTCATTTAATACTAATCATGGCTTCTAAAACAATTCAATTGACAGCAATATCAAATATAAACATTTTTTTGCATTTAATTTTACTTTCTAGCAGTTTAGAGACATGGGAATCATATAATTATTATTCTGGGATGTATAACATTATTATTTTGAATAACATAATTTTGATTGGTCCAGTAAAAACTATAAGTGTGAAATGCTTGCTTTCTTTCTTTTGGATGCCAAGTGAAATGCTTCCTGTTGAGCTTAATCTTTAATGAATGGTTATGTTCACTCTACTCTATTTTAGTTAGGTTCATGAAGTACACTTTTGTAGACTTTTAAATATATTTATTTAACATATAAAATACAAAACAGAAAGTACACACATAGTAATGATAGTCTTGGTGATGCATGATGACAATCTGGGGACTCCTACTTCAATATCTAAATTGTATGAAAGTCCATTATTACAGACTGTTTTTCTTGCACTTCTGGCATTATTTATCCCTCTGTGATTTTTCTCCTTTTCCTTCTCTCTTCCATTTCGTCAGCTCATTCTTGCTTGTCTTCTTTCTGTTATCTTTGAGTTCCCTCCTGCATGCCGCCAACTTCCAAGAAACAGACCTGCACTTCTCTATTGTGTTGACTCCAGAAGGGAAGTAATATCATCGGATGGTCACAAGACTTTTTGAGAAGGTTGTTACTAATCATTGCCAGGACAGTAACAAACTACTAACAATTAAGTCTTAAATTCTGACACCTTAATTTGGCATAATTGAAATTGAATGTGATAGAAAATTGATGTGTGGGCTATCTGTATAAACTATATGGACAATAGAATTATTGTAACAAGAATATCTGAAAGAATAGTCTCTGTTGATCAAACAGTATTCACAAATAAAAAATGTGTAAGGAACCAAGTCCGTGCTTTATTTTTAGTTTACTTTTACTTTGCTTTATTATATTTTTGTTTGGGGGCTTACGTTTGGTTAGGACGAAGGTTTCCTCACCCACCACCCTAACGTTCAAAACGAGAAGATAAAAGATTAACCAACTCACCAACGACGAAACGACAGCGCCATAGCTAGCATTGCACTCACGTGCACGCCCGAGCAGCAGAATTGTAAGTCCGCACTGAAGGGGGGACACCCAATAGACTTTCTAGGAACTTGTGTAACCTTAACAAAACATCCCGATAGTTGTTAAAGAAATGCTGTAAAAGGTTAACAAAGTATTGTCGAGAAATAAGCTACCAGATAACGAAGAGAAAACAATGTTACGTGTAGATATGTAAATGAGGGGAGTGGCTACAGTAGAACTGTGACGTCACCTCATACTATAAGTACAGTAGCTCAAGTGAAGACAGAAGAGGTGAGCTCCTGAACCGAAAGCGTTGGTCTGCTGGTAGCAGTGAATAGGTGTCGAATAGGAAATCCTAGTAGGAGATTGAAGGTTCGATTTTGGTGATTTGGAAATAGGAAAGTCTTGAGTAGAAGAAAAGGTTCCAAGTATTAACTGAGGTGACGGTTAGGATTGATAGTTATAAGAGAATTTGTATCTAAGTTAAGAATTGGATTTTGTTTTGTCGGAATTCCAAGGGGAATAGTTCTAAGTTAGAATAAGACTTAAGTTTGTCGGGTTGATTTGTGATTTGATTTTTGATTAATAAATTTGTTGTTTGTTTATAAATCTTGTACATAGTATTGGTTAAACTTGATTAAACATTTATTATTGAGATTTTTTTGTGACTAACTTTGTCCTTAATTTATTTCGGGGCACGCTAAAAGTCCAGGCCTGGCAACTAACAAACGCGAACCCGCGTAAAGTACCAGTTAGGTCCCAGCTCTAAGAAAAATATCGTTGTAGAGCAACAAATTAAAAATAGTACTTTACAAATGTTGGATTATATATAGTGTATATAATCCAACATCCTGAAAAGTGAAATCTTAACACCCTGAAGGTATGTGCATAGCCACTTGCACATTGCAGGACCGGTAGAAGAGACAGACCTAAACAAATCATTAAAAGGACAAAGATTTCAACAGACACCTGCTTATTCAGTAATGAATATGACCCCCATGGGCATTATACAGGTCACTGTATGGCATGGCATGCTATCAATGAGGCAATTAATGGTTGCCTGAGGTATCTCTTGCCAGGCTGCATCCATTGTGATGTGCATGTCATCTACAGTGTGTGGTACTGGTTCCAGTGCATCTTGTTTCAACATGAGATGCACTAGAATAGGTCATCATAGGTGTTCAATGGGAGAGAAATCCGGCCAGTGTAGGATGTGAATTCCATTTGGGCTGATGAGAGTTTGCCATGCAACGTGTGGTTGGGCATTTTTTTTCCTGGAACACCGTGTCAGGTGTGCCCTGCACCAGTGATTGAATAACAGGCCCCACAATTCATGTGACACACTGGTCTGCTGTCAGACTATTGGAAATGTGCACTAAGGCTGTCCACTGATTGAATTTGACGCCTCTCTAAACCATGATGCCAGTGTGTGGCTGGTGTGATGCTTGGTGAAAAGGGCTGGCAAATTGCATTCCCTGGGATACCACAACAGCCATCATTCCTCCTCAGAAACAAAGTTTATCTGTAAACAACGCTTGATGCCATTTGTTGGTTCAGTTGTGATGATGGCACCCCTGTTGTTGGTTACTGTGGGTGCAACCAACTTCAGGAAACTTGTTGGAAAAAATACAAATGCCCCCGTTGACAGAAACAGGCAGTTGTGCCATAATGAATGGATCTTGATGGGACATTTGGCAACTGGCCTATGTGCTTTGTCATATGCTGGTATGATCCACTCTTCAGTGTGTTTGCAGATGTTCCTGCATCCATCATGTCACAAATCACTGGATGGTATTAATGTTGTATTCAACATGTATGGCAACTTCATGCATTGACAAACAGGTTGTGCAGCTGGTGGATAAGGTCTTGTTTACCAGCCGTTAACTGGTGGTATTGAGCTTGCTGTCATCTTTGAGGGATTTTCTATGCTTCTTTGAAAGTCAAGCTGCTGCAAATTGTTGCTGATAGCAATTACAGCCAGTGCTGGCTGCTGGTCTTTATAGCCCAAAACTAGGTACCAAATGACAGGATGCATATACAAATGTAATCATTCGCATATCTCTGTCACCTCTACTGGTTGTGCAATTTGCATGTGGCTATGTGATAGAATGGTGTTGCAATTTCACTTTTGAGGACTGTATTTATATAGTGTAAGTGTAATCCATATGCTCACTTGTAATTATTAACAGTTGAATAAATTGTTAAAAATCATATCATTTGAATGTTTGGACAGTTTGCTTTGTTTCACCTGTTGCATGAGATAAAAATAACCTTAGCTAATTTATTTTAAAAATTATTAGTAAATATGTCTTCTCTCACTACTCATAATCTAGAATTCTAACATTTCTTGTGTTTTAAAGACTCCACACAATGAAACAACAATTAGAAGGAATGAAGAATGAGTTAGCCTCCATCATGCAGAACAGTCGCGACATCGAGGTAGCCGTATATTGAAATTTTAACAACTGTAAAGTTACCTATTCTTATAAATGTCTATTTAATTCAATTAATATCATTTTTTTTGTTACATTAAGCCATTACTAAAGGAAGTCAATATAAACCAACAAAAAGTATCTCAAGAACTGTTAAGGGTACAGAATGAGAAAGATAATTGTAGGTCCTCAATTCAGAAGAAGGATGGAGAAATTAAAAGTTGGTGTTGTTTTATTAAATAGGATTCTAAAGCAAGTGTTCATAATTTGTGTGTGTTCATGCATATCATTTCTTAATTTTTTTTTTAGCTTTACAACGAGATCTGCAGAGAAATCAAGACGTGGCCCAAATTAAATTTAATATTCTTCGTCAGAGGCACAACGCCGCCTACGAGGCTTCTGTGTGGCTTCGGAAAAATAAGAACCAATTCAAAAAACCTGTCTATGATCCAATAATGACACAGGTGAGAACCATTTCCGTTTTCCAGAATAACGTAAAAGGAACAAGTTACCTATTAAAAAATACATTTGTTTACCCATAGATTAACGTAATAGATCAGCAGAATGCCAAGTACGTCGAAATGCACATTCCATTTAACGATCTGGCAGCCTTCGTGTTCGAAGATAAGGACGACCTAAAAGTTTTTATGGATATCGTTCGAGACAATCTCAAATATAAGATAAGTGCCGTACTCGCGCCGTCCGTTCCCCTAGAAAACTTCGTACCCTCCAAACCCATCGAATATTATAGGTAACTGATGTCAAATGTTAAATTTATTTTATGCTATTTCTAAATTAAAAGTTGACTTATGTAATGCATTATTATTATTTCTAGAAAATGGGGATTTCATAGTTATTTGAAAGATTTATTCACTGCTCCCAATGCCATCATGAGATACTTGTGCACGATGTACAAAATTCACGAAATTCCTGTTGGTAATAAATATACCCAGGATAATATAGAACAAGTTTTAAATGATGTTAAATTTCGCAGATTTTATACAGATTATTATATGGTTAGTTAATTACTTTGATATAAACAATATATTTTCTTATTATTAAGTAAATATTTTTTGTGTGATTCTTTTAGTATTCTATTAAATATTCTCGTTACGATCCAAATGTCAAATCAGTTCTGAGTACGGAAGTCAGGTAAGCGTTAGACATTTTAGCATGTTTAAAAATTGTTTTTGCCGAATTTAATGCATAAAAAATAAATAAATAAATTTACCGAAGGAAACCGACGCTGTTGACTGTATCCACCGACATGGCTTTGCACCAGGAGTTGACATCTAAACTTCAGGTAAGGAAATTTTAAAAGTATTAATGTTTATTCTTATGATTGATTTAATTTACTGTTGATCCTTGATACATCATCTAATGGAAGAAAACAATAGTTTGATGATAATGATGTCCATGTAAATTTATTAATCTTTATCAATATATTTAAAATGTCATAATTCAATTTCCATCTTGTGTGCTTTCTAAGTGAATTTATGATGCATACTGTATATACTGCATTTATTCTAATAAACAGCATATATATTTGTTATTAGAGATTAAATTAAAACACATTTGAAGTAAATCAAAGTATTACTTATTCTACGTCTTTTATACTTTTCCAGCAGTATTTTAATCAAAAACAAACCTTTTGACCCCGTTTAGAGGTCTGCCTCAGGTTAGAAAACATAGTTTGTTTATTTAATTTTGTAATATATAAGTTCTAATGGCAGAACTATAATAGCTTATTTTAAATATACAACATTCAAAAACAAATGAGTTACATTTTTAAAATTTGATTTATTAACATGAAAACATAAACAACATAAATTAAAAAATAAAATAAATTACACATGCTATTAAAAAATAAAATATTATGTTGTTCTATGTTTTCATGTTAATACATCAAATTTTAAAAATGTAAATCATTTGTTTTTGAATGTTGTAAATTTAAAATAAGCTGTTATAGTTCTGCCATTAGAACTCAGTTTGATTATTTAATTTCATAATATATATGTTTTCTAATTTATCTAATGTTATCTAATTTGAGGCAGGGTTCTAAATGGGTTGTGTTGGGTCAGGTGTTTTCCATGGGTCAGGTGTTTTCCATCGGTTCCAAATTTAACCCCACCTAACGATGGGGTTAAATTTGGAACCGATCAGTTACACCTGTGTGTGGGCGTGCGATTCAGGGATGTCTTTTGTTCGGGTCAGTTAGACGAGCAGGACGTGACCGGTGTCCATTCCGACTGTTATAACCATTTCTTTGTTATATATTAAACGGCTATCTACGATTAGAGATCTTACACTTTAAGAACCTAACAGGTTGAAAGGTTTGTTTCTGATTAAAACACTGCTGGAAAAGTATAGAATGTGTAGAGTTAGTGATATTTTGATTTATGAGTTTCAAGTTTTGCTACATGTGTATTTGAAGTAGAATTAATAGCCAAGAATAAACTATTTTTGTGGTATGTATTTGAATGTAAATTCCGTTATATTGTGTATGCAGTAAATACCATTCTGAGGTAAACTTATGAATTTATAATACCACCTTTAAACATCTGGCACAAAACAAAGGAATAGTAATGTTCTGTTGTTTTTAAGTAGCATTTAAACATTTTTGAACTCGGATATTTAATTTTTGGATTTGTAATGGTTGAGTTTAAATCTGATAAAAAGCTGTAAACTAGCTTAAAAATTTTTTCTGCTAGATACTTAAAAGTTTGTGTTATAAAGTTGTTAAATACATCCAATTGGCAAATTTTTTGTTAAGCTTATGGTTAGTGAGTAAGCTACTAAGGGTCTTGGAGGCAGAAATGCCTAGTTGATGTGGGGGACAGTTAATCTACGTGAAATATATTAGGATTAATCAAATGAAACCAGTTGTTTTCTGACATATGGTCCAGTGCTAGGGGAGGAGAATGACATCATATGGGACACAATAGGCATATATCTATGAACAAGCAGGGAGTAGATCGGTTGTCTCTGTTGTTTTCTTTTTGGCACAGAGTAATGAAAATGTGGTTGGAGTTATTCAAAATCCAACCAAGGTTGAAACGTGGTGCCACTGCTTTGAGCTGATCAGTAGATGAGCAAAACACCCCTGCTCACCAACACAAAAAAGTTATAGGCTTCTACCTATAAGGTTGTTGCTGAACACATTTTTTTGACATTGCAAAGCCTTTAAAGTCTACCAGCAAAGACCCTTACGTGAGCAACAATGCTAACCACTAAAATGCAAAATTGGACATGCTGCATAAAGCTGCAAAGAATAAGCGACCAGGCATGTAATCATGTGGTCTGATTTTATTGCACGACAGTGTTTAACTGCTTATTGCAAACACTGTGCAGGACACTTTAGCATGAATAGGTTGGGAGGTTTTGCACCAGACTTCCTAGACTCCCATTCTGTCACCATGTGACTTTCATTTGTTTGAACCTTTAAAAAAGCTCTTAAGGGACAATGCTTTACTTCTGATGTGGAAATCAAGAAAGCAGTTGCCTAATAATTCAAGGACCAATCAACATCGTTCTTCGTGGATGGTATACATTTGCTTTTTTTAATGAACAAAAGTGCATTCGGATTTCTTCATATATTGCTTTGTTAAATTATGCCATAATGACATATATACTGTTCATTTGTTGTAATAAATTTACTCAAATGGATTTCATTTGATCAATCTATGTACAGTACATCCTAAATTAAATATGATCAGATGAAGATCTAGTAACTGATAACATAGCTTAGTACGTTATCAGGTTAGTATAAATTAACTAACCTGATAATGTTTTATCTGAAATGTGACATTTGTGAATTTGCATCTTTTCCAGATCCATCATTTTCTATAAAATTTTTAAAACTATTTACTTAAATAAAATTAGTAATTAAATTAGATGGTTATGATGCTCTATCTCATCTTTAAACAGAATTTTCTTATACTTAATTAAAACTTACTTTTAAAGTATAGTCCAAAAGTAAAAGTTACTTAGATTAATTAAACTGAAATGTAAGACACTAGCTACTATGAATAATGTATTATACATAATTCATAATAGCTCATTACAATCTTGTTTCAAATCAAATTGCCTGTGAAAATTTGAGAATCCAAATTGGATTTGAATCTAGAATAGAAAAGTATTTGTATTAAGGAATTTGTTAAGACCATAATTGTATAAAAGTTAAAATTTGAGTTAGTGCAAAATTGATAAAATTTCAAATAAACTAAATTTATTATTTACCCATAACTCAAATTATTTAAATATTCTTTAGATGAAGCAACAACAAATTGAGCAAGATAATATCGTTTTTAATAAATTACATCAAGAAGAGCAGCAGCTCTATGTAGAACAGGATAAATTACGAAAGGAGAAGGTAAAGTTTATTGTTAACAATTGATTTAAAAATTTTTAATATTATAATGATAAACATTAAAATTTTTATATTATTGTAATAAATAGAAAGAATTAATAGTCGAAAGAGACAAAACAAAAACTTTAATGATGAAAATTAGTGAGAAAACGGAGCGTATTCAACACAGTGAGAGAGATGCGATCAACATTGAAGAGGAGACAGCAAAAGCTACCAGTCAGATATTAACTATTAACAAAAAGAGATGTGCTGCTCTTCAAGATTTAAACAGCCATTCAAAGGTGCATTAATTTAAAAAAATATCTATATATTTGTGTACGTAATTGGAAAGTTTTTCTTATTTATCAGTTGTTTGTTTTGTGAAATTTCAGCAACGCATCAAATTGGCCATGAATAAAATTCGCGTTAGTCTCCATTACTCTCAGACGCTTGCCGATAAACTGAAAGCTGAAAGAGAATTGCATGAAGCCAGCCAGAATCTACAGAGTTTGGAGGTTGGTCTGTTGCAATGCTTTTTATGTAACAATAGAAATGCATGCTTTAACTTTTGCACGCCGCGTAATTTTTATAGGAAGAGTTGGAAGTCACGAAAAGGGCCGTTATGGAAATAAGAAACAGTGCAGAACATCTCTTAAAAAAGGCAAGAGAGATCACCGGTGTCGATGGCAATGGAGAACTGCCAGAAAAATGTAAAGAAGTAAGCAATACATGTGATAATTCCCAAAGATTTTAATTAAAGTACAACATTAAAATTACTGACTCTCTCATTTAGCAATTTAATCGGCTACCGAAAACATTAGACGAAATAGACAATCAAATTCATGAGAAACAAGCTAAGGCGGATTGCATTTTTGAGAAAGACAAAAGCGTAATATATTTTTCCATAATTTTTGTCTTTTTGTTTTTTTTATTAATCTCTGTACGATGCCAAACTTTGCTGTGTAGGTCGTTCATCAGTATCGGCAGAAACGCAACTACATCAATCAACTGGAGAAGGACTTGACTGAAAAACAGTACAAACTAGATCAGCTGAAGGACAAAATAGAAGAAATTAAGAAGTGTTGGCTTCCTCATTTGGAAGATTTGATAAATAGAATAAACAATAACTTCAGTCGTTTCATGTCTATGATGCATTGTGCAGGTGAAATTAGTCTGAACAAGAGTGAAAACCAGGTAATTGTGCATTTGTTTATTAAATTATGTTGAGAATTAAGAGCTATTTAGTTATGGTATTTGTAATTGAACTATTAAGTAAAAGATCTGATTTATTATAACTTTAAGAAGAAATACATTGTAGCCAACAGGTAATATATATTAAGTAGTAAATATTGCTGTTTAGAATTTTTTCTGTATAAAACTGTGATATACACGGTTGGAACAACATTTGATATGGAATGGTCTGTCCTAGAAACAAACTCTCACTCTAAATTACAAATATCTTTACAAAAGTTTTTCAAAAATAGTTAGAATATTAATTACCACCACTTAAATATCACTACATGTTTTCTTGAAAGTGATGTGTGCAACAAATACATTATTGAAAAAACATAATGACATTTAAGGAAAATTTGATGATAAATCTTTATTAAAACAACCCAAATAATTCAATAAACCAAATAACTATTGCTGGATTGTGTGGTCTTATTTATATCTGGAGATACGGGTAATGTAACTGTTAACCTATCTTCATGGCATATGGAAGGTATGGGTTCAGATCTCTTTAGTCTGGTATTTTCTTTTGGAAATTTCTAAATTATTAGATATAAATTTGGATTAGATTAAATTATCATATTAAACCTTACTTCCTACATATTTGGTCAAATTACTTTGTTTAACCATTATCTGGCTGTATTATGGCCTAAATGTTATCTGGCAATAGTTGCTTTGTTAATTAATCTTTCAGAAATACATTAAAAAAAATTAGATAAACTATTTCTAATATTCTATCATATATCTCAGTTTTAGAAATGAAACAGAATGCGATGATTTTTCCCTTTACCTTATCAACATAACAAACTAATAGAGGAATGTCAATGGCATTTGTATATAAATTAAGTAATTTATATACAAGTTAGTTAGTTTAGGCCAATTTTCAAAATTAGTTAAGAGTAGATGGCAGCAACATGTCTCGAATAAACATTAATAATAGAAATTTGAATTTTAGTTAAACACTTTATACTTTTCCCCCAAAATTCTCTAAAAATAGAAACAAAACAAAATTTTAATTGATTAATTTACTTAGACAAACAAGTATCAAGTACCAAGGCAGAAGATTCTATTAAAACCATCACTATGCATGGTAATTTGAACGTCTTTGCACTTGGGCAAAAGATTTGTCTTATGTAAATATTCACAATCATAAAGTATAATATATTCAAGCATCATTTACTAAATGTGCATACAAATACTTTACCACCCATAGCCAATGCATTTGACATAATGGCACATGCATTGTCAGCACATGCCATTTTTGGGTGTGCATTTTGTACAGACGTTTCCGATTTGTCTGGGGTTCGTGTTTGCCAAATTTTGATCATTGTCTGGGGCATTCTAAAAATGTGACCATGGCATTACACATGAATAAACCAAAGTTTGTTGAATTCTCGTCCATCAGATTAATTTTGAAACATAGCAATGACCCATGTCGATTGTTTATTGAAGAGAAATAATGTCTGTCTGAAAGCTGTTTAGTATTGTTGATAATTTGAGTATTTTCCCCAAAAATTGAAACTAATTCTTATATCAGTATAAAGCTATATTTATTAAATAAATATTTTAAAATGTTGGAAAAAATTTAGTAGAATTTTTAGTTTTTAGAGAAAACTAATTCTGTAATTTGGATATTGGAGAACAAAATATGCCTTAGTTTGTTGATGTTATTCTTTGTTTGTAAATTTATACAGAGCAATGCTATTTTTATTGTTCAATTAAATTGTATGTTTACTTTGTTTTAAATTTTAGTAATTTATCTTTCGGTTTCCTGTTTATATATATATATATAGTTTTGTTGTTTTAATTGACTGTATGTAGATTTGTGTCCGAATAAAAATTTCTCATCTTATTTCGAATTAACGTAACTTAGTCATTTCTTGCAGTAATCAAATTCTTCAGAAAATGATGCAGGAGATGAAAGATTTGCAAGAAAACAGTTTTTGATTTAAATATTATTCTTCTGTTGGCAAGTCTTGTTTCTTTATAGGCTGCTGCATTCAGTAAGCCTCCCTATAAGTGAGGAAGAATGAGCAAGAATCAGACATTGTAGTATTTCACTTTATTGCTACTTCACCTTAACCAAGAAAGTCCATATAATTTGGCTATAATTTTTAATGGAACAGTTAAAGTCAAAGTATTTATTTGGTGTCTCAGTCTTTGTTTCCCTTACTTTCTAAAAAACTTTACGCTCAACAAATCTCATGTCTTGTAATGTATAAATCGTATTTTGAGGCTACTGAACTCCTTGATCGACTTAAATGAAAAGGTGGGTGAGGAGGCTTTGAGACCATAAAAATTCCTTTGTGTAATTAGTCGAATGCCATTTCTGAGCAGCTTTGTAATTATTTTGATATTTTGACCATTGACCATTTGGAAAGGTAGTTTATTAGTCATAACATCCATTTATTATTATTGTTTATATATGTATGAGTCATAAATGTTTTTCCATATTTTAAGTATTAATAACTGTCATTATTTCTAGTTAATTATGCAATTTGGTGTGTTACTGGAATTTTGGGATGTGACAACAATAATTTGTTTATCTTTTTGCTTAAAATTAAATACATTTCTTTCAAAAGAATAAAAATAAATAGCCAAATAGATAAATAAGGATGTTAAATTTATGTCATCAGACGTTTTAAAAAATAATTTAAGGATGATTAAGGCTAAATCACCCAGTAGTTTTATTATTTTAATGTAATGTCTTTAAGGCTCCATTCCAAATTGTCTGTTTGTGCCCTGTGGGGACTGGGGACTAGTGCTTTTGGGTCCCTGGTCCAAAATGGATAGTCTGATGCTTTTTTTCAGTATTAATAAATACAGTAGAGCGTCGATTTTCCGAATCAATTGGGGACTGGGGTTGTCCGGATAACTGATTTACGTACGAAAAAATAGTTTAACGTATCCGATTTCGAAATTTTTCTCCGTTGCATGTCGCTTTGCGTTGAATTTTCGTCAATGTTAAGCCTAACAAAGACTATTGTATCGTTAAAAATTATTTTTTTATTTTGTACAAACAAAATAAATACAGGTAACCCTCATATAACACGGTAGTTACGTTCCAAAAAATTGCCGTGTTATGCGAATCCGTGTTATACGAAACAAAGAACTAATACGAAAAGGAGGGTTAGGTTCCAAAAATTAAAAAACATGCTAGTATATTTTCATAATTAAGATAAATATCTTCATTAAAATTTTTTTAAGTGATACATATTAATATAAATTAAACAATGTTTTCTTCGTCATCACTAAAAACACTATTAATTAACCGAGAGCGTTTTCTTTTTGGCAAGTTATCCTTATCCTCTGAGCATTTTTCTGCATTATCTTCAGATCCATGCTTTACCTTTTGCAAAATGTATGTAATTTTAGATTGCTTGCTTCTAGTTAAAAGGTCTTTATAAATTTCCTTATATGGTGCTAAGCACTTATGAAGAATAAAGCAAGTATGGAATAAGGGAAAAACATTCGGCAACATCAGAAGCAGAAGTGTCGCGATCTGGTAACATTGAAACAAGTTTCGAGAAGGACCACGTGTATCGACAGAAGGTAAGAAGAGAAAATTTACATACTTAAGTACTAATAGTTTACTAAAATAATAATTTTTGTGAACTATTATTACTTAAGTACGTAAAAATTTATTACATTTCCTGTTGTACGAGGGTTTTACCCAATTCTCGAACCGTGTCAGAGTGAATCCGTGCTATAAAAGTACCGTGTTATACGGGGGATGGTACCAATTCTCGAACCGTGTTAAAGCGAATCCGTGCTATAGAAGTGCCGTGTTATACGGGGGTTACCTGTATATTGAAAAATATAAAAATAATAAAAAATTATACTTCAGATGTTAATTTAGTATCAAAAACGTAAAATATTTGAGTAGCCCAAGACGTAGCCAAACATTAAAGCGCCACAGCACTGGCGAAAATTTAAATTTGCCGACTGGAATTCTTTCGGATGATTGACTTTCGGAAAATCGACGCTCTACTGTAATACATATATATGTGGATGGGAATGTACAATTATATACTTAATTATAAATGTGTTGGTACACATTTATAATTAAGTATGTAGAACTGCAACAAAATATATGTGAGTGAGTGGAAAATAAATTTTCCATTTTATACGGAAGGGATGTATTTTCTCCAACAGTTGCATGCATTTCATGGCTGGATGTCAGTTCCTCAACACATTGAAGCTGATAGACGAGTATCACTTGCTGTTTTGGAAGATGCATCTTATGTCCCTCATTTGACAGCAGAGTACATTCTTCATGAGCATCTGGGCTATTGTGAAGTTAGTGGCAAGTCAATTCACATCAGTTGACGGATGACTACAATGCCATATGGATGGCAATTGCTCTGACGATGCTTTGACTTTGTGGAGAATGATGAAGAATTGCCACATGGAGATGAAACACAGTAGCTTTCATTTCAGTCAGGTCTCCAAAGCCTAGTCCATGATGTGGAAGCATCCATCTTCTGTGTTCAAGAAATTCAATCAAACACCAAGAGCCAAGGATGTTGCTCACTACTGTATTCTGGGACATCCAGGGGATCATATTGATTGATTTTACTCCTTGTAGAACAAAAATCACTACAACTCGTCAGGAAACCTTACAGAATCCAAAGTTCACTGTTTGTCACCAAAGGCCGGGGTTATTGTCAAAGGGAATTCTTCTGCGCAATAATGCCCAACCACATACAGCACATGGTACTGTGGTTATTTTGGAATATTGGCACTGGAAAATTCTTCCCCAGCCTGCATACAGTCTGGACTTGGCACCATTGGACTTTCACTTGTTCACTCACCCAACATGAGATTAATTGCATTGCTACATTTACTAAATTATGAGGGAGAGTAGGGAAATAAGCTTTCCTATTGTTTTTCTGACAAAGTAAAGCTTATTTCCTACTCTCCCTCATAATTTAGTAAATGTAGCAATGCAATTAATCTCACGT